CTATAAAGTACAAAATGCAAACACTGTAAACTTTTATGATCCAACATCATAATAAAATTCAAATATTAAAAAAATTAACTAATTCTTCAGAAGAGTGTTGGAAATACCAAAATGCCACTCTGAGTGGTCCCTCTCTTCATTCCTGAGCCATGTATCCAATGGTTTACCAAAATAACAAAAATCTTGGTTCACCAAAATAGAGAGGGTGTCACTGTCGACCTACCAGTTACCATGACAATTGGTAATAGTCCTACTACTAGATACTAGTAGATAGACTAGTAGTAGTAGTAGACTAGTAGTAGTAGACTAGTAGTAGTAGACTAGTAGTCCTACTACTAGATACTAGTAGATAGTCCTACTAATAGTTCTTTGCTAATAGTCCTACTACTTGAAATAAAGATAGGAAAAAAGTTCTTCTTTACCACTAACAACCAGCTCACTACAATATTAGACACAATAGAAAATATAAATTTTCAATGCCCCATGCAAGACAATTCTTGGAGTCAATTGGAAAACTAATTATTGCTCTGGTAACTATTGTAATGACCACTAGCTGCTACTTCCAACTGCCACTAGATGGCATCACACTACATGCCAAAAGGGTCAGGAAACCAACAGCCCTCACGATTATTCTAAAATCCAGTTTAGCCTCAACACGCTTGGAAAAGGTAGGACAACTAGTTAGGGAATGAGATCAATCAAAGGATCACTCTTAAAACAGTGTTTGAATATTTTTAAAACACTATTTATGAGACAGTCCCATTGGTTGCTTCCTGGGCCAAATCTTTCAGAAAAAAATAGTAGACATTAACTAGGGCAAGGAATGGAAAGTATGGAAAACTTAGCCAATCTGTTGAAGAAAAAAGGTTTACAGGGGCAGGCGGTGAATGGGGTCTATGTTTACCAGTCTCCGTGGTGCAGTGGTAAGACACTCGCCTGGCGTTCCGCGAGCGCTTTGTCATGGGTTCGTATCCTGGCCGGGGAGGATTTACTGGGCACAAATTCTTAACTGTAGCCTCTGTTTAACTCAACAGTAAAATGTGTACTTGGTTGTAAAAACGATTCTTCGCGGCGGGGATCGTATTCCAGGGACATGCCCAAAACGCTAAGCGTACTAGTGGCTGTACAAGAATGTAACAACTCTTGTATATATCTTAAAAAAAAAAAAAAGCGTTGAATGTAATGAAACGTAATTTTCTGGGCGAGTCCCGGAGGCTCCCTGGAGCTATCCCAGGCTGATATGCTAATGTCAGACTTTGGCATCAGTCATGTGTATGGAGTTCTTAGGCCTACCGGGGACCACGGCCAGAACCGGGCCCTCTCAGAGAGGCAAGGGAAGCAATGGCTTATAGAAGCCCCCGTGTGGTTGGAAGCATTCTATGTCTGCCATCGACCGGAACAGGCACCCAGAAAGGTAAGTGCCTCAAAACAAACCCCTATTCTGGTTAAAATTGCTACCAAAAGCTGAACTAGTGGATAGAACTCCCCAACAGAAAACAAGCAAACTAGTATGATGTCACACGCCGCCGCGCCGCTGTCTGCGCAGCTCCCCCCTCCCCAGGAGGGGAAGGGGGGAGCCCCAGACCCTCCACGCCATCTACCCACACCTCAGTTCTTGAGGCTGGATGTCAAAAATGCGAAAAGACCGCCGACCAGAGGGAGGGAGGGAGGGAGGGAGGGATGCCGGGGAGCCTCCGGGACTCACCCAGAAAATGGCGTTTCATTACATTCAACGCTGGTTTTCTGGGGGGGGGGGGGAGGGAGCCCCGTCGGCTCCCCGGAGCTAACTACCCACAGACGGAAAAAGTGGGACTTACCCGGGAGGTGGTCGTCGCTCACTCCTCAACTCGAAGCCGAGACAACTGGCTGCAACCGCCGACCCAAAGCAACACAGGCCCAACGGGGCCCAGGGACATTCACAAGGTAACGAGCAACCAGGACCCTGTTCGATCGCCAAAATCCCTGCGCCCAAATATCAGACCAAGACATATTCCCAAAGATGGCAGCAAGAGCCGTGAACTTACGAACGTCATGGGCACGGGGATAGACCGCAGGCTGGCTGGACTTAATAACTCTGCAGACGACCTGGGAGACCCGAACCCGCGAACAGGAAAGAAGGGAAACCGGATCAACCCACAGCGCGTCCCTGGACACAGAAGCTGTGGCGCGCAAATAATGGCGAAGCGCCGCAACCGGACACAAAACATGATGCACCCCCGGCCTGACCAACCAAGCATCAACCGCCCACGGACCCCTCCGGAACGCAGCAATCTCATTCTTCGCCAGAAAAGAAGGAGACGGCTGCAAGCGAACAAAACTATCACCACGATCAAAAGAGCAGAAACCCCTGCGCCGGAAGAGAGCATGAAGCTCTCCTACCCGACCCCCAGAGGCCAAAGCCAACAAGAAAAGGGCCTTGGAAAAACAATCCTGGACCGAAGGGGCTACAACGAAACGAGGAGACGAAAGGAAAGCGAGCACTCTGTCCAAAGACCAGGACAGCTCAGGCGGCGCATGAGCAGGCCGGAGGTGAAACAATGCACGAGACAGCTTGCGAAACAGCGCAGACGTAACATCGATACCGAAGGCAAGCTGAAGTGGCTCCGCCAGCGCCGCACGATACGAGGCGACAGTGTTAGGCATAAGATGACGGTCCTGAAACAACCACGAGAGGAAGGACAAGACCACCCGAACAGATAAGGAACTAACAAGACGAAGACGCAAAAAGAAACAGAAGGACCGCCAGGAAACTTCATACTGCCGCCGAGAAGAAGCCCTCAGGTGGGACACCTGATCACCATAGAAATGATGATAAACTCGAGTCAAAAAACCCATACGCGAAGACTTGAGGAGGAGATTGAACCAGCCACGTGACGTACCGGCCCGATATGCTGAAAGAGGCGGAGCCTCGGGTTCGCACACTGAGCAACCAGCACCTGAAACCAAGGCTGGGCCGGCCACCAAGGGGCCAGAAGGACAACTCTCCCCTGGTAAGTCTCTAAGCGAGTCAGGACCTGAAGCAACAGCCGAACTGGGGGAAAGAGGTACAGGAACCCCCACCTCGACCAGTCTAGCCGAAAGGCATCAACCCCGACGGCCTCGCGATCGGGGAAGGGCGCCGCATACACGAGAAGACGCCGCGACCACGCCGACGCGAAGAGGTCCACCTCGGGGCACCCAAACGTCTGGCAAAGCCGATGGAAGGACTCGTTGTTGACTGTCCACTCCGTAGAGAGGGGAACGAAGCGAGACAGGGCGTCGGCCAAGACGTTGGACACTCCCTGTACGTGAACCGCCAGGAGAGCCAAACCCCGAGAACTCAGCAGACGAGTCACCCAAAGCAACCAACCCCAAAGAGACAAGGACTGCATCGAACCCCCGCGGTTCAGGCAATGAACCACCGGAGAGCAGTCCGAATGGAGCCGAATCGTCAATCCGCGGGCCACCCGAATCCTCCCAAGAGCGAACCACACTGCCGCGAACTCCTGCACCATGCTGTGAGCTCGACGGAAGGACGGATCCCAACGCCCCTGGCCGGCTAAGTGAGCACTGGTCACAAAACCCCAGCCGAGAGACGACGCATCCGTGTATACATTGAGCGGGGGCTCGGGTAGGCGCCAAGGCACTGAACCCCGAAAAACCCGAAGAGGAAGCCGGTGACACAGCAACCGACGCAAGGCCCCTGGGGGTCGAACTCTGCTATCGCAAGAGAGGCGGAAGGGGGAACCCTGAAGGAACCAGAACAGCCGACGAAGCCAAACCCGACCCGGCGGGTAGACCACCATTGCGAAGTTCAGGCTCCCACACAGCCCCTCGAGCAACCGCCGGGTGACCCGAGGGCCCACCAGAAACAGATGAAGGCAGGACCGCAGCCGCAGGAGAGACTCCGGAAGGAGAGACAAGGAGGCGGTTCGAGAGTCCCAAACGAGACCCAGTCAAGTCCGAACCTGAGAGGGAACCAGATGGGACTTCCTCCAGTTCACCAAGAACCCGAACCCGGCGAGCTGGGAAAGAACCAAATCTCTGGCAAGCAAGCAAGCTGGTTTGGGCTGGGAGCTCAAACCAGCTAGTCGTCGAGGTAGGTCAACACCCGAACACCTAGGAAACGCAAACGAGCCACCACAACCCGTATAAGGCGTGTGAACACGCGAGGTGCCAGGTTCAACCCGAACGGGAGACAACGAAAGCGGTAACTTAGATGCCCCACAACAAAACCGAGCCAGTCCCTGAACCGCGGATGAATCAGGACATGCCAATAAGCGTCCCGAAGGTCCAGGGACACCATCCAAGCGCCCGGCAACAAGAGGAGCCGAACCTGAGACAGCGTAGTCATCCGAAAGGAGGCAATGAACCCAGGGGTTCAGACGGGACAAGTCCAGAATGAACCGCAGGTCCGCGCAGTCCCATTTCGGAACCGGAAACAGACGGGAAACCCATCTGAAGGACGACGACGTTTCGACGACGCCCAAGCGTACCCACTCCAAGACGACTCGACAGAGCGCAGGAGAAGAAACATGCCCTGCCAGCCTCGACCTCCCCAAGGGGGGAGGGGCCACCCAACACCACCGCAGGCCGCCAGACACAACCCGAAAGGCCCACGAATCGTGGGACCAGGCACGGGCGAACAGGGCAAGTCGCCCCCCCAATCGCCCCATCAATGGGGCAAACCGCAAGAGAGCCGGCGACCCTTACGAGACGTAGAACCCCGCACAGAGCGAACACCGCGCCAACCAGACGAGGGAGGGTCCGGAGTAGGAGTCGAACCCGAACCCGACACCAGAGGCCTACCACGACGAGAGGAACCCCGAGCCCTGGCACGCCCCTTCCGGGAAGACCCACCCCGGGACCCCCGGAAAACCAACAAGTCCAACATTGGACGACAATCCTCCGACGCAGCCTGAATAAACTGCGCCACGGCCGACTCCTCAAACAGAAGAGGACAAAAAGGTGAAGAACGCCTAAGAGCCAGAGCCCAAGCAGATTCCACGGAGGAACCCAGC